AGAGGGACAGGGGGAAGGATTTGGTCCTGACTACTTTCTCCTTCCCTCTCTTCCTTTTTCAGAGAGGGCAGTGGTTCCGTGGAAGAAAAAGGGATAGAGGACAATTACCTTATTTAGCCCCAATCTGCTCAGACAGGTGGTAGCTGTCCCCCAAACCCCTAGAAGGGAGTTGGCCTGTGTGCAGTCTCCATCTGTCCTGACAGCACCCACCCGTCATCAGGGCCCAGGTGGTGAGCCAGAGCAGAGATAATTTTTTACCTTTGAGGTTGAGGTTATTACTCTTGCTTTAAGAACAGGGAAACTGAGGCTCATCTCCAGATATGTAATTATCCTCAGGATATGCATTGTGACCACAACCTTGAGCATAACATTTAGGGAAGAGAAGCTGATGGCCTGGGTAATTTAGCCCTGATCCAGAAGGCAGTTAGCTACAATTTGAAGTCATGTCTGAGAATACCTTTGGTCTTCTTTAGGCGAAGTCTTAGCAAAAGAAGCTGATTTTTTTAAAATGGAAACAAGATGCTGCTTAGGAAAAGAGGAGAAAATAACAGAGCAGTTTCCCCCTGTATCCAGCCTTTGACAATTTAACACGTAAGAGAATGTGAATCCTACAAGCAAGGCTGTCGAAGGCTCCAGATCTGAGTTTCTGTTTCCTTGGTGGAGAGGTGTAGAAGTGTAACCCTCCTGTGAGTAGAAGGATTGAACAGCATCCAGGTGATCTGTGAGGCCCTCAGTTGAGGGCATTTGCGGTTTTGTAACTAGACATTCTGTTATGATAGGTCTTCCCATGGATCGTTTACTCGCCCTGAGCACCATTGTAAGGGGGCTCTGCTTCTTGAGAGTAGAGGGGAGCCAGCCTCTGTTGTCCTCATGGCTCAGCTGGGTTCCCCCACATCCCTCCAGGATGCCTCAGCCCAGAACTGCTTTAGCTCAGGGGTGACAGAGGATAGTGGCGACAGGAGTTACTTCCCCAGTGGGAATTCATGTCTGGGGCCTTGGGGGGGTTGGGTGGGGTGGTGGACAGGGAGGGTTACATAGGTACTGCCCCCTCAGGACACAGAAGGCTTGGCATCTGACAGCAATGGCTGTCTCCATGAGGGTCTCTATCTCTGAGCTGCCAAACCCAGGACAGTGGTCTCCCAGTATGACTTGGGCCCCTAGCATCACCTTGGGAACTCACTAGAAATGATGAATCCTTGGGCCCCACCGCAGCAATGAGTGACCTGCCCAGTCCTCTAGGTGACTTTGGCATGTTGGAGTTGGAGAACTGCCACCCCAGGTGATCTTGTGTCCCTTGGCCTGGGAGATCTTCTGTCCACCCTAGAAATTAACCACTGTTGGTCAGACTTGGGGGAGTTGCTCCTTTTAGGCTATCCAGAGCAAAACTTTGTCCAAAAGGGCATACCATCTTCATAGACTAATCTTAGCTCCCATGACCAACCAAAAAATAAGCAGGTGGCCACGTTTCAGAAAGGATCCCCCAGTGTCTCAGATCCAGATTTAAGCCCATACTCTTTGGATACTGTATTTGGCCTCTTGAGATGACCAGATGCTGATGAGGATGGGCCCCCCGGGGCTTGCCTGTAAACATCCCCAACTCTCAGAAAAGAGGCAAGGGCTAGCTCCAGGCAGGCCCAGCATGCCCCAGCAGCCCCACGGACATCAGGCCTTGCTGGGCCCGAACTGACTTGGACTTCATCCCTGAAAAAAAGGAAATCAACTCCAAACATTGTATCTACTTAAATTTTGGATCCCATGAGATCTAAATGTGTACTGGTTGGGGCTTCACTGCCATGCACATGTGTACATGTTCTTTATGTAGTGCTTCAGGAGCCATGACAAGAATCTCATGAGGGGTAGAAAATTGCCCCCTGACCTGCCTCTGCTTAGGTGGGGCAACAGCATCTGCCGGGATCAGCCACAAAGGCACCTGGTGCTGGTCTGGCTGTGCGGGGGCTTCGCAAGCGCTCACTTAAGCCAAGACTTCTCCTCATTACTTGTCTCTTTCCCACCAAGGTCCTTCTTTCAGGGGACTCTGGGGGAGAAGTGGTTTGCTCGTCCAGGAAAGTGTGTGCTCTCCTAAAGGCCCTTCCTCCCATTGAGTGCCTGTCCTGTTCCTTCCTGAAGTACCTCCGATGCCTGTCCTTTCTGCTTCCGGGTGAATTCCTGCTCTGGCAGATTGCAAACACACGCTTTGCTCCTCGTCCTGATCTCCTAGCCAGGCTGCAGAGGGCCTTTTGAGATCCTAGCGCAGACTCTCCATTCACATTCCCTTTCCCCCCAGATGGCGTTTCTCCTGTTCCTTTAGCTTCTTTTTTCTGAACGTTTCCATGTTCTTGCAAGCCCAGCATGCCTTCAGAAGAAGCCCCACCCTTTCCAGAAGTTCTCCCAGTGATCCCCAGTCCTTGGCTGAGGATAATCAGGGGAGACACCCAGCCGGCCCAGGGTCGGGAGGCAAGAGGTGAGGGACTGCTCCTGGCCCCGCCAGACAGTTTGCTGTGTGGCCTCAGATTTGTCAGGTGCTGTCATTGGGGCTGGGGAGGGAAGCTGTCTGGACAGAGTGGGATGTTAACTTAGAACATTTAGAAAGCATTTAATCAGGCAATTCCAGCTGAGGAACCAGACAGGGAGTGGGTGGCCAAGCCAGAGACCCACTATTGCTGAGTGGGAATGTGGTTAAAATAGGAAGACCATGTAAGGAAGAGTCTAGACCTGAAAGCAGGTGATGGGGAAGCCACATGTGGACAGGTCAGGGTGACATGACAGTGGTCAGGGTTTACGGGGTCAGGGTTTAGGGGGCCAGAAAAAGGCTGGAGCTCTGAACACATGGGAGCAATATAGATGGGCAGCACACACATGTGTGGCCCCACGGATTTGGTTCCAGAGCCTCTGCTGAGCATGCTGGTTGAGCAAAATTTTGGATCTTGGCTGCCTTGGATTCTTAGCCGGCATCATTTTATATCGAGCAACTTGACAACAATCAGCCAACAGTCCAGATCACAAATCTCGGCCACTCCTGGGTCTAGGTACCCTGCAGCAGCTGGTCTACCTACAGGCCACCCTTGGGTGTCCTGCCCTGGCAAGGTGTTGCAGTCTGTGCCAGTTACCACCTGGGTCTCCATGTGTCACCTCAATCTCCCCAGCTCCTTCAGGTGCACTTGCCTGCATTCATTCCTTTGCCTGACCTCTGGCTGCTAAAGCCCCCAGTCTTGCCCTTGACCTGTCTTTCTACTACTTTGAACACATTTGAACTTTTCGTTTCTTTTTTCTTTTTCCAAATGCTGCTCTTTCTTAATGGTCTCATTTTTGGACTAACCTTGCTCAGCACTTAGCAGATCTTCAGGTCTTTACTGAAATGTATTCAGTTATGCTACCATTTTTGGACACACAACGGTAATTTTCCCATAATTCTTCCCTAAAGAAATGAAAGGATCCCAGGATGAGACTTTGGGACTGTTGCTTAGGAAGAACATGCACTTACTCTTCATAGAACATCGCATAATGTGGTGGTTCTCCGAGGGTGGTCCCGACCACCAGCAGTAGCAGCAGCATCACCTGGGAACTTGCTAGAAATGCACATCCTCAGGCCCACCCAGACGTGCTGGGTCAGAAACGCTGGGCGTGGGATCCAGCAGTCTGTTTTGATAGCCCTCCTGGAGAGGTGGACGCACGTTCCTGTTGAAGAACCATGCTGGGGTGCCAGGGTGGCTCAGTCAGTTAAGTGTCCCACTCTTGGTTTCGGTTCAAGTCGTAATCTCATGGGTCATGGGATCAAGCCCCTCATCGGGCTCCACACACAGCAGGGAGTCTGCTTGAGAGTCTCTCCTTCTGCCCCTCCCCCCCACTTATGCTCACTCTCTGTCTCAAATAAATCTTAAAGAAAAAAACACAAAAACACTACCATGACGAAGCAGAGGATTCTGATTAAGGTGTAAGCGGTGGGACCAAGAGGAAGTTGCTGTTCAGCCAGCTCTGCTCCACGCCCTGCCCTGTTGGAGTGGGGTGCAAGGACAGAAGCAGCTTGCCAGCATCCATCCAAGCATCATGGGAAGGAGCAAAATCACCTTGGCCTGAGTTATCTGGCTGTTGACTCCTTCATGGCCTGAAGCACCAATCCTTAATGCAGGGCAATGAGGAAACTCAGTCTTGTTCTAGAAGTACTCACTTGGGGGTGGGGCGGGGGGGGGAGTGGAGAGGGGAATTTCAGCAATTTAACTAGTAAACAATTAAATACTTGGTGTTTACCATATTATAAATTTTATATGCTGTTTTACAGCATATAAAATTCTCATGCGTTTGTTTTTGAAGGAAAAACAAGAGTTCACAGCTTTTTCTCACTTTTCATGAACTGCCTTGGGCTGTGCCGCCCAGAGCCACTCAGGGTCAAGTTACTCTTCTCTGACCTCACCCAGGCCTTTTTGAAAGGTTTGGGAAACAGGGGTCTTCTTGGACTAGGTCTCAACGGAGAAATGGGGGGCTCATTCCCAGCTGTGTCTAAATGAGCTCTGGGCTTCCTGACCTCAACAGAAAAGTCAGGGTGGTTTCTCCAGCCTGTTCTGCTGGCTGTTCCAACCAAGACAGAGGTGCCCCGTGCAGCCCCAAGGGAAACATGAATCCTGTGAAGTTGTAGCCACCCTGGAAGGTATGTGGGAGTCAGAGGCTGGCCTCTTCTTCAGGTAGCGCTCGAAGGGTCAGGCTTCTAGCCTCAGTGGGACCTCTGAGGCCTTTTTTGCCTTCATGGCCCCTTCCTCCCTAACAAATAATAAAAAATATGTGTGACAACTATGTGGGTTATAAAGACAGATATGCTATAAGGGGGAGTCCGTTCATTTTTTTCTCTTCTGATTTTAAAATAAGATATTTTCTCGGGCCTCTGAAAGTATGGTGCATTCCAGGCACCACGCTTGCTGGGCCTATTGGAGAAGTCAGCCCTGCAGAGATCCTCTCTGAAAATCCCTCTAGTCTTAAACCCGGAATAACCCAGCCCTTTGGTCGTTCAGAAAATTGGCTGTGATGGCATCATCGGGTCCGCGGCCAAGGAAGACCGGTGTGGGGTCTGCAGCGGGGATGGCAAGACGTGCCGCGTGGTGAAGGGCGACTTCAGCCACTCTCGGGGCACAGGTGAGTGTGAAGCCCAAGGGCAAGGGGACCCTGGCCTCTCCGGGAGAGAGGGGATGAGTGAGGGGGAAACCCAAGGGGTTACTGCAAGTGCAGGACAATATTTTATTCCCTTTGCCCAAAGCCAAGAATCACATGCCTTCTCTGCACCTCATTGTTAAGGGCTGGTAGATGATAGATAGGCGACCCGGCACGTCAGTGTTAGGATTGCTGAAAGGCAAAGAGAAAACACGTTAGCCAGAATACCTTGAGGTTCCTAGAAATGAATAGTTTGCTTGTAGAGCTCAGTGGAGCTGCCTTGCCCAACCAGTCCCCCTGAAGCTTCACATCAGCCCGTCTTCTGATGGGACACCTCGCCATGTTGTTTTTACCTATAGATGGAAGAGGTTTTCTCTGAGTTTTCTGTCAGTTAAAGTAGGACAGCGTTTACACACATCCTTAAAATGCTTTTAAAGCCATTTGTTCTGGGAAGTCTGAGTTGCTTCTGCCAACTGTGAATACAAAGTAGGCGAGTTTCCTGTTTCCTAAATGTAGACCTCCCCCAACGCTGTGCTTAGAGAGGTCCATCAAAGTTCAGCTGATGGGTCGTCTTAGTCTTTTTGCTTGAACCACCTACACAGCTGTAAGCTGCTTTGCCCAGAGGTGGGAGATGGTTTCTCAGCTCCTGTCCTGGAGGACACCAGCTTATGATGTCCAGGGAGTTATTGGGGTTGATACATACGTGATGAGAGGTGCAGGAGGTAAGGCAGGTCATCTGGGGAGAGAGCTCTTCTCAAAGCCTGAGTGAGTGTCCTCTCACCCAACGTCACCAAGAGCCACATCACCAAGGTAGCTTGCTGGGTGGGGCTGAGCTGAAAAGCCTTTATTCTAATTTGAATGATGGCTTTGGATAGAAACTTTTCAGTTCAGTTTAAGCCCCACAAGAGAACGAAATCCCAAGCAATCCTCTCTGTCCCACAGAACACAGGCCTCTGGGACTGAGGCGGAGAGGAGAAGTCTGTGAATGCTCCCCGTTCTCTGTACGGATGGGAGACCTGGTCTAGAGGAAACATTCCTTCTCGATACCTTGCAGAAAGGGCAACGTATCGCACAAGCGTTTTGCAGGATCTTGTGACCGCAAAACCAGAGGGAAATGCAAGCACAAAGTTTAATTTTAAGATTACACGTAAAAATGATATTTAAGGCTGGGTTTCTGGATTTTAAAGACAGGTGCCCAGCCTATGCAATAGGAAACATGTGAGAATCTGTGTCTGCTGTGTGGCTCCTGAGATAAACTGAGGAAGGTAACGCCAGAGCAAGTCGGTTTGGGGGGGGGGGGAAGGGCCCTCTGAAGCCATGTCATCCAGGACAGTAGCCACAGGCTATTCAATTTTTAATTATAACTAAAATTAAACAATCTTGAAAATTCAGACCTCGGTCCCACTAGCCACATTTTAAGTGCTCCATGGCCACATGTGGCTAGGGTTTCCTGTGCCAGACAGCCCAGAGAGAGAAGGTTTCCATCACTGCAGAAAGTTCTCGAACAGCTCTGCTCTGGAGCTTTGGTGATTTCTATTTGTTGTGATATGTCGTAGGCTACTTTCTCTATTTGGACGGCAGCTCCAGTTTGCCATGAGACTTTGACCTTGCCTAATGTGCCGGCAAGGGCAACGAGGAACAAAACCTCTGCAGTTGGCAAGTTTTACTACTGATAAAATTTTTTAAAAAAAAGGAAGCGTTAGACCCCTTTATTTATTTATTTATTTATTTATTTATTTATTTATTTATTATTTGTTTATCTATTTAAAAGATTTTGTTTATTTGACAGAGAGAGAGACAGCCAGAGAGGGACCACAAGCAGGGGGAGTGGGTGAGGGAGAAGCAGGCTTCCCGCGGAGCAGGGAGCCCGATGTGGGGCTTGATCCCAGGACCCTGGGATCATGACCTGAGCTGAAGGCAGACGCTTAATGACTGAGCCACCCAGGCGCCCCTAGAACCCTTGATTTAAATCAAATGTGCCACTCCAATAAACTGGACTACAGTTGCTCCCTTCAGTAGAAGGCAGGGGGAGCACCGACACGCCCACTCCTGCCCCCTGGGCAATCACTAGCACTCTAAGGCTGTTTCTGCCACACACCTTTGAAAACCTCCACTGCATGCAACGTAGTAGCTCAGTTCCAAGAGAACCCTGATGGGGCAAAAAAAGGTTCTCTCTTTTTTTTCCCCCAGTCTAATCCACTTGTTGACCTTTGATCTCGGCATGAGTAGATCCATTCTTCCAATCACAGTAACTCTTTTTTTTTTTTTCTTCTCTCCCCTTTCTCCATTCTACCTGGTGCCTGGGTCCCATCTGTGCATGGGAGGAAGGTGGGCAGGAATGTGCAGCCTTCCTCCTGGGGTGGTCAGGATTCTGGGGCTCAGGCAGCCAGTCCTCCCTGGAGGGACAGATAGCCATTGGAATCCTCCTGGGGGTAGCTGTCTGCACCCTGGCTTGTGATGTATGTGCTTCCTTCCAGCTTCTGGGGCACAAAAGCCTTAGTGATGCGGTTTTAGAATATAGGTGAGTTTCAGTGGGGTGAGGTCCGGAGCTGACCACCAAGAAAGAATTCTTGAGACATCTTTGGTGCAAAGTGGTGGTTTTATCAAAGCACGGGGACAGGACCCATGGGCAGAAAGAGCTGTGGCACCGGGGTCTTGAGGAGTGGCTGATGATACACTTTGAGTTGGCAGAAGTAAGGAAAACGGAGGTTTCAAAAGAACTTTCATTTGCTAAAGAGGACCGACCTACAAGATACCTATTAAATACGAGAGGTCTTGCCATTGTCAAGTTAAGGTTGTTTTTCCCTCTAGCAAAGTATTAACATTTAGTTGGGAGATTCCTGGAAGAATGTCACACATGTCCCACCCAGGAGTGGGGGAAGGTTGCAGGGTGTCAGCTTATGCTTTGTCCTCAGCTTGCCTTCTGCTCCCTCATCATTAGCAAATCTTAAGAGAAAAATAAGCACCCTTTAGCTTGGCCCACCTGGAAAGTTCTGTCCTTCTGAGCGGTTGCCAGATGTCACACCTTTGATCTGAAGTCTAAAGCCGTTTCTTCCAAATCCTCACCATCAGGGTCTGTGAGCAGAAGCTCCTATCAGTGTGGATTCTGCTTCCTGAGGCTGTGCGTGAAAGGCTCACTCAGACATGAATGAATCACTATTTAATATAGTTTCATCAAACGCAAGCCTGTCATCATGGCCTGACATTCTGGAATGTACATATGCGAAGTTACAACTGGTCACCCAGTAAACATTTGTGCGACACTACATTTTAAAGCATGAGGGGCACAGAAATTAAAGTTAACGGTCACCAAGTCGGTCACTGCCGAGGGAGGGTACCCCCAGGCAAGCAGCTTGAGTCCATGTGTGAAGTGGAGGCAGCTCAGTGGGGGTGGGTGGGTGCTATGGGGCCTCAAATTCTGGTGGGGTGCCTCACCCAGGCCTCCTGAAAGTTGACGGTGGTCCCTGAGCCATAAAGGACAGGTAGAAATGAACTGACAGTGCGGGTGGAGAAAGGACATTTCAGGCTGAAGGAAAAATCAAACTTGGAAATGGTATAAAGCCTGGGAATGGAACATCTGGGTGACTCCAAGTATGGCAGAGTGGATTCACTAATCAGGAAGGTAACTTTCATCTCTGCCCAGCTAAAAAGACTGGGAAAAGGAGGAATGTCTTGTCTTATCACCCTTAAGGGTGAATATCAGAAAGAAATGCCACACCAGAAAGATAACAGGTAATCAAACGCAGGATTTTTGCCCAATTATATAAAGTCCTGACCCTTGCCTGAACTCATCTGGGTTTTTTCACCAAAGTGCTTGAGCTGAGACTCCAGAGCAGACCCACACAGGGCCAGTGTCCACATCCCCCAGGATGTCCCCCTCTTGTGTCCTTGAGAGGTCACAAAGAGCGAGTGGGGACATGGCATTCTGAGTGTAGGCTGTTTATTACCCCCTGGCCTCTTGATTCCCGACTTTGAATAACCGAGGTCCTCAGCAGCTCAACTGTGGAAAGAATCTACTCGAATGGCTATTGTATTATGTCTCTGATGGATGGGCTTGAACATGCTCAAGTCTTTGGTTAAGTTCAAACAGCTGAGTTTTTTAATTTAGTATCTTAAAGGTTCTTGGAATGATGCCTCCAACTTCATTCATTCAAGTGTCATTGTCTTTATTCCATGCTCCTCCTCAGTGCTGCAAAGGTGACTAGTACCCCCTGAAGTCACCACAGATGGTTCTATCCATGGAGCCCCATGGGTTCTGAATCTCTTTGCACTTAATCCTCGAAGAGAACCTTCTCGAACAATGAATTCTTAAAAGGGAAGGTGACGTGATCTATCCCTTTTGAGTGTGGGTGGATCCGGAAGTCAAATATTTATTCAATAATTACCTTTAGAAACTCTGTCATGTGCCACGTTCTCTTCTCAAGGTGTGGGATATGGAGGTGCTGTGGGGAAATTTACATGATGACAAACAATGACTCTTCTCACCACCATGATTAAGAACTACGGTATCAGTTCCTGAAATGTGCATGGAAACCAATGACTGTATATTTCTTTTCCTCAGTCAAGAATAATCTATGTACGAAGGTGTCCACATGTGTGATGGCAAAGGCTGTTCCCAAGTGTTTCTCATGTAAGATGTTTGTGTATCATGTGCGGTATTTGAGGTGATGTGTCTGGTGTGGGATTCTTTCCTCACTTCCATGCCTGAATGTTTTCTGAGCGGAGTCAATGGGAATGGGTCATGCATGAAGCCATGGATAAACACAAAGGCCATTTGTCACTTCTATATAATTGATGTTTAAGACTGATTGCCAAAAAGAAAAAACCGTAGAACAAAACTAATTTTAAAGCTATAGAAGGTAAAGAGTTATGAGATCGGAGACCAGACAGAAACTTGTGTCAGTATGCCAAGGGATACATCATTCTCCTCAGCCACACCTGGCTCTTGGGCAGGAAATGATATGACATGCCAGAGAATTTGCTGC